AATAAAACTAAATGATATGGATTTTATGAAATAGTTTGAAGAGAATTTAAATTGGCTGCTTTTCATTGGATGGGGCTTCTTATAGTAAGGGAAAATTGTTTTATTCATTAATAGTCAGAGGGTGGGAGGCGCATTGGCCTCGTGGTTAGTTCGCTCAACTCCGGAGCAAGCGGTCCTGGTTCGAGCCCTGGCCAGGGACATTGTGTTGTGATCTTGGGCAAGACACTTTACTCTCACAGTGCCCTCTCTCCACCCAGGTGTATAAGTGGGTACCGGCAAATTTAATGGACTAGCATCCCATCCAGGGGGAGTAGAAATACTCCTAGTCACTTCATGCTGCTGAATCAAGGATAAGCTGTGGCCTGATGGGCCACTTGGCTCGTATGCAGACTTTGCCTACCTTACCTAATAGTCAGGGGATTGATGTGTAGAACTGGCTGACTCATTACCACTGTAATTTCTGTACTCTCGCAGTGAACATACATATTCTTGTACTTCAGGACCCTGAGATCCATGCTTTATAGTTCCAGAGCAAAAGTAATCTTATTGTATCTATAAAACAAAGGAAACTGTTCAGTCAGCTTACAATCTTTCTTTTCTATGCACGCCTCTTGACAAAAAGTAGTGCAGGTAACGATAAGATCTTAATATGTTAGTTATCATGATGTTCTGTGCTTTTGTGATACTACTTGTTACATTTGTTTAGTATTGCGAGTGATGAGATCAGTGTCTTGTAGGTAACTCATGTAATAACGCGTTCATGAATTCAACTTCTATCAAATTCCTTCCCCCTATAAGTCTATAGTTGAAGAGAAACTTATAACTAGAGAATGTCTTCCATGGCAGATTATATAATAAGCCAGCCATCATTCTAATCATCCTCAGCATATGATGAGGTTCCTTCTCCCAGAGGTTTAAACAACAGCTCTGGTATCTGGCCCTTGTCTTCTTCATCGCCTGAATCTTCAAAGAACTCAAAATCAACGCCCTCGCAAGTGATCTCACTTATCGAGCCTTCTCCATAGCGCTCCAGGACCTCTTCTGATGCGGCAGTAATAGAATACATGACGTCACTTTGCAGTGTGATCCCACTTGGAAAGAAAATGTCGTGGATGTCGCTGTCGTGATGTTTGACAACATCTGCGTGATGTGTTGCTAAGACGGAGCCACTGTTGTCACGCAACTCAACTTTACAAAGCTGAGCTGATGATTGTGTCACGGCTGAGAAAAGTGCCACCCCTTTAATGCTGATTGGATGTTTAACCTTGAATTTTACAGTGGATTGTTGAGGCGTGACTGCTTCCCACTTTGGGCGCAGCGTTGTGGATTCAAAACGCGGGCAGCGGAAGGCTGTGTCTTGCGCAGGCTTGGCGCGTGGCTCTGTTGGAAATCTTATGTTACATGACTGGAAGTTGGAGTTGTATCCTATGTACATGTTAGCAACTTCTTCATGACTCAGAAAAGATGATTGTGCCACGTCTTCAGTGAATTCTTTCATACTCATCAACGGGAAACGAATAGAATAGAATGCATCCCCGAGAACCCTACGCTTGTTCTCAACTGTCAGTGGAATTGACATCCGCTGACACTCTCGCCCCGCCCACTTCACAGCCGCACGAAAAAGTACCGTCTCCTTGGCAACCAGCGTGTCGCGTGTTAAAAAGGCAGTTAGTGTAGCGTGGTCGATTTCAGGGAATTGATTATCCTGGGCTATTTCCGAAGCGTGTTGATCGATGATTATCCAACATTGTTTCTCAAGGCCTTTGCTCACGCCTAGCAGACAACAATGGTTCAGCACAGGCAGAGTGTTCTCCACGCTTAAGTTGTTCAGAACGAACTCTGAGCAGATCTCGGCCAGGCTTGGAATGAGGTATTTTCGAGCCAAGAACAAGACCTCTGGAGCGTTATCTGTGGTCAGCTGTACTTCATCGTAGTACATGAACCGGAGCATCTCAAGAAATGATTCAGGCTCACACTCGGACATTTCAATCTAAAAAAGAAAGGATGGCAGGTGCCTAGATGAACATTTTCACTCCAAAACTCAGTTTGCACTATTCAGTATTGAAGTTTAATTGCTTCTGTCATGGGCTCCTCAGTTTTTCTGTGTAATAAAGCCCGCAACCAAAATTTGTCTTTATTCAAACAACCAAGAACAGCTTATTTAAATTTTGATTTAATTATTGTTGAAGTCGGCCTCATGCAAAAAGTGAGCAAAGAAAAAAAATATATATACATATTTTTTATTTGGATTAAATGTTTATTACGTTGATATACACCATCCATCAGATAATTGTTTGACCGTAGTTTGTTTTGTGAGCTCTTATTCACTGGAAAGTGATTTATCCAATGGATAGCGTTATCCACCCTTCGAACAACTGTCTCTTAGTATTTCGCCTTGTAACTGTCGTGAATCGAGTAGCAGCTCTCGTAAAGTCTCACATGAATGTCTTGATACCCTTTGAGAGGACAATAGAAAAAACAACAGAAACAATAGCCCCAAAACAATAACAACTGCCACATTAATAAGACAGTGGCAGCTTACGAGAGCTGCTACCGTAACTATCAAACCATGCATTTCTAGCTTCCCACCTTTCTACGGTGGCGGGGAACGAATCGACGCTTTTGACAAATGAATACCTTTTTAACTCGAGAAACGAGTCGCTTGGCGAAAAAAAAGTTGATTATGCACTACGTGTAAACACATCACGTGATACATGTGTACTCATGGTGACGAGGGTGAAAGAAGTGGGTGTCGCAGTTCATTGGAAAGAATAATGTGTTTGCTCACCTGCTCTCTAGCGGTAAACTCAGTCTGAAGTGCACCAAATGCGTAGAAAAGCGACGAAAAGACGGGACTACTAATAGCCAATATATAACGATGAGCGGGAATGGATGTCTTCTCTCTCCTGCCCACAAGGAAGCGTACATCACTGAATAGTTCACGATTGAACATGTACTTGTTTCTGTCACGAAGTGAGCGGCAATTAGTCTGCCACTGGTCGTCCTCTCCCGTGTAGCGCAGGCTCGCGCGGAGAGCCAACTTGCTTTCGAACAAATCGATCCTGGTTTCAAGTCGAGAACTTACCGGACAATCCAGTTTTGAATCGTGTCTGAAATCCAGTGTGTTGAGGAGATGTACTTCCTTGCCAGTGTCACCCATCTATGACTGATGAATGTTATTAAAATGAATGTACAAATATTATATAATTTAGAAACGATTTTTGGAAATTCCCGCGATTGGAATTTAAGTCAGTCGTATAATCCAGTTTGTATTGAAAACAAAATCAAATTCAATGCAGCTGCTTCGTTGATCCGAAGCTAAAGTACGAGACATGAAATATTCAACTAACGGAAAAGGAACTTCTATTTTACTCGATAATTCCTTGTGCTATGTCAGCCTATATGCCGGCAACACGCAAATCTCTTACGAGACTGGAAGTTAATTAAAAGAAAGAGTTAACCGCAGTAACGGAGATTTCAGCTAAAAACCCCTTTGTTTGGTCTCATTTCACCAAATTAAATTATTTATCCGAGAATTCTAAATCTTCATTTTTAAGGAGCAGACCACGCTAAAAAAGATAAACTCCCTTTTGACCTAATTGATGTCTTCAGTTATAAAAAAGCCATTTAATTTAGTGTAAGATGTAAAAAAGATTTTCCAGTTAAAATTTAATCG